TGGTTATGTGGGTATGTTCGCCTGATAGTTCATTGAGCCGTACATTTAGATTTTGTGTCCTTTCCTCCATGTGTTTTACATTTCACAGTAAGGGTTAAATAAAAATTTTCACATGCTCACCTGGGTGCGAGTTGAGCTGCTATACAAAGACACCCCAAAATATAGCAGCCCAAGAAGAGTGAAGCTTACTCTTCACATAATAGCCTCTGGCCCATTACTAGAGGCAGATGGGCAAGCTGGCGGAGGGTACCGAGAGCCCTCAGGGTGAGCAGGAGCCCGGTGCTTCTCTTTCTCGTTGCTTTGCCATCTCCTAGGGTGCCACCTTTGTGTGCACAATTGAAGTTGCCTATTTTCCTGCCTTTGGGAAGAAGGAAGGAGCGAAGGGCAAGCAGTTTCCTTTGAAGGGAGTGGTCTGGACTTGGCACACGTCTCCTACTCACGTGCTGTTGGTGAGAATTTAGCCCCATGGCCACTTCTAGTCCTAAGTGAAACTGGGCCATGCAGGCTCTTGTTGGGTGGCCATGTGCCCCACTCAGAGTGCGAGTGGTCCCTGACCACAGGAAGGAGGGAGAGTGAGTGGTGGAGACAGTTAGGATCTGCCACAACACCCAGAGAGCTGTGACCGTCAAGCTCTGCCTGGTTGCTGTGGGGGAGGAATGTAATCTTACTGCCCCTCCTTTCCAGTGTTCCCAGCTGCTGTGCAGACTGTCTTGCTGCCCCTCCCCCCCCCCCCTTTGTGCAGGCCAAGGGTGTTTCAGCAGATATTCTTGGCTTAAATGACCAAAAGGGTAAGGAAACTTGAGGATACGTGCAATACTATGCCTGGAGAAAGTGCCAGGGGTTAGAGCCGAAGGAGCCAACCAACCCATCACCAGATTCTCGAGCTGGGTGTGATGAGAACAGGAGGTGAAAGCCACGAGGGCCAGGACGATTCAAGAAGGAAAGAGAAGCAAAGGAGCAGGGCAGGAGACAGGAACGGAGGGGAGAAGTGCCAGGGGGGCGTGAGGTCCCAGCGCCGCCTCCTCGCCAGAGCCCAGGAGGGCCACACAGAAGATGGTAGTAGGTGAAACCTCACCTTCCTGTCTGTGTTTCAGTCAGACCAGCGCCCTGGGCAGTTGGGGTCAGAAAGTCTCCCTGTTGTAGTCGCCGTGGGCAGGGCAGGGAGCTTTGCAAGTCCTTGGTTGAGGTGTGCGTGTGACCTGGCCATGGTCACGGACTGGCAGGTACGAATGGCCAACAAGCAGCTTACTTTCCCAGGGGCCAGGAGGAAGACGTGAGTGAAGGCCCTTGGGGCTCAGAAAAGGAGTGACGGAGCCTCCATCCCCCGGAGGAAGGCCGGCTTGTAGGTCCCCGGGAGCCTCGGTCTCCCTGTCTGTAAAATGGTGAGGATGGCGCATCAACTTTGCCTTGGGGTTCTCCAGAGAAACAGAACCCATGGGATACCTGTACATACAGAAAGAGATTTGTTTTAAGGAACTGGCTCACAGAATTAAGGAGGCTGACAAAACCAAGATCTGCAGTCAGCAGGCTGGAGACCCCGGAAAGCCAATGTTTGAGTTTGTCTGAAGGCAGGAAAACTGATGTCCCAGCTCAAGGCAGTCAGGCCAGAGGAAATTCCTCCTTTGTAGGAGAATGTCAGCGTTTTTGTTCTATTTAGGCCTTCAACTGATTGGATGGGGCCCACCCACATTGGGGAGGGCCATCTGCTTTACTCAGTCATCCGATCCGAATGTTAATCTCGTCCAGAATCACCCCCCCAACACACCCAGAATCACGTTTGACCAAATGTCTGGATACCCTGCAGCCCAGCCAAGTTGACACAAAAGGAGCCATCACATCTTCGAGGGCCCATGAGATGGTGGAGGATGGCAACAGGGAGGGAGCAGGGGGAAGAGAGGTGCTGCTGCCGCTGGATCATCAGGGAGGGGACCCTTACCTGGCACTGCTGCCCGCCCACGCCCCATGTTACCTGCTTGTTTGGCCATCTGCATCCCCCACTGCCAGCAGGCTAGTAAGAGCATGGACTGTGCGTGTGATGCCCCCTGTGCATATCGTTAGGAGCCGAGTCATGTCACCCCCTCAAATTCATGTGCTAAAGTCCTAATCCTCAGTACCTCAGAAAGTGGCTTTCTGGAGATGGGGCCTTTAAAGAGATGATTGAGGGGCCAGCCCCGTGGCATAGTGGTTAAGTTCGTGCACTCCGCTTCAGCAGCCCGAGGTTCACAGGTTCGGATCCCGGGTGCGGACCTACATGCCACTCGTCAGGCCTCGTGGCATCCCACATACAAAATAGAGAAAGATTGGCACAGATGTTAGCTCAGCGACAGTCTTCCTCACACACACGCACACACACAAAAGGTGATTAACTTAAAATGAGGCCGTTAAGGTCGGCCCTAATCCAATCTGACAGTGCCCCATTAGAACAGGACATTTGGACATAGAGACGTGGGGTCTTGTGCACAGAGGAACAGTCACGTGAAGAGGCAGCAAGAGAGCTGCCGTCTGCACTCCGAGGAGAGGCCCCAGAGGAAGCTCAGCCTGCAGCACCTCGATCCTGGCCTGGCCTCCAGACTGAGGGAATGGATGTCTGTTGTTCGGGCCACCAGCCCAGGCATTTTCTTAGGGCAGCCCTAGCAAACCAACCTAAGTACGCGGTGCTCAGTATTTGCTGAAGTTTGAATCAACCAAACACTTCCACCCTTGCCCTCGGTTAGCTCCCTTTGTAACCTAGGGAGACACGTGTAGGCACAGGAGGTGGGGCTCTGGGCCCCGAAGCGATCACACGAGCAGAAGGGCGTCCAGAAAAGGCTTCCTGGAGGGGACTTCTGGCAGCAGGTCACAGGGTGGACACGGGCTTGCTGAGTATGGCATTCCAGGCAGGGAGCCAGCGTGTGCACCAGCCTGGAGCCTGGAGAGAACAGCCACCGAGGGAGCCTCTCAGTACTTCACTGCTGCTCGAGGTCAGCTGTCTGGGCACCTCATGTGCCTACCTGAGGACTTTGGGCCTCAGTCTGAGACAGTGGGGAGCCCCCAGCAGGAGACTCTCACTGTGGTGGCTGCAGACCTGTTGGGTGAGGCAGAACTGATGGCGCCGAGGCCAGGCAAGAGGCAACCTGGCAGAGTGGAGGGATGCAAACTGAGGACCCAATTCCCTGAGCTTGGCAAGTTACTGGGCATCTCCAAGCATCACTGGCTACTTCTTATCCATCAAGCAAGAATTAAGGTGAAGATTAAAACTGAGGGTTGATGTAAGGGGCCTCCCTCTTAGAAGATGCTTGGCAAACAGCACCTGCTCTGCTCCTGCAGAGTCGGGTGAGGGAAAGAGAACCCAAAGAGAATGCTGCTCTGGCAGCAGAGGGCAGAGCCAGGGCTAGGCTTGGAGTTGGTGCCAGCCCCACCCTGCTTCCATCCACAGGATCCATGTCGGTCCCTCCTCTCACTGTTCTGCTAAGTCCTGCTCATTCCTTCAAGCCTCGCCATGATGCCCTCCTCCTCCAGGAAGTCTTCCAAGGACTCGGGTCCACCTTGATCTGCACCTTCCACTAGTGCCTGGGTTATGGAGCCCCTGCCATTGTTTCATGTATCAGGACCACCAACTCAGAAGAGGCACTGGGGGAGGGAGGTGAATTTGACACTTCAAGGAAACACAGCAGGTCACTGCAATCTTGGAAATGGTCACCACAACGTGCCTTTCACTCAGCTGTGGTTTGATGACCCTAGCCAACCATCCATCCCTTCAACAAATAGCAAGTGCAGGCACTGTCTAGGTGCCGGGACTAAACAGACGTGGCCCCCGTGCCGCTTCCCAGTTCGCTGAGGGAGACAAACACTAATCAAGTCATCAAACAGAGTGTCCAAAGAGACACATGGGCCTGTGGGAGTGGATGACAGTACCCCATCAGCACGTCTGGCACTCCACAGCGGCTATGTAAATCCTTCATCCTCCCCACCATCCGGCTTCACCTTCTCCTTCACCAGGGCTTTGAAACAGGAACTCCCTCCATTTCTCACCACCAAACCTTCAAGCGCTCCTGCATCTGCACGCACCTGTTCCTCCATCCCTCCTGTTACAGTGAAAGACCCCACCCCTCCATGCTGGTCCCTCCACACACAGTGGATGCCGTCCATTCCACTTCCCGGGACCTCGTTATCAGGCAATCCTTTCTCTCTTGTATCTTCAGCCTCTCCCTCCCTCCAACAGGCTCAAGTCTCACCTGTATTAAAAGACAAAGGGAATCCCCCGTTCCAGATGCCCTTTCCTTATTTAGCCTGGTCGTCTTCAGACTTTGTTCACATCTCCCTAAAAGAACTTTGAAAACAATCTATACCAACGTTTCCAGTTGAGATCTAAGTGTTTTCATCTGAAGTCTTTATAGTTGCAGCTCATATAATTTGCAACAAATAGTAGAGATACTTTAAAATAAACCTATTACATCAGTCCTTTTAATGATTTCAAAAGAATTGAAATATAGAAAAATGTGGTACCCACCATAATCCGTTTTAAAAATGAAGTGCTTTCTTTAAATGTTTGGAAATAATACTCTTACTTTTTCTTCTGGAATCTGTAGTTCCGTTTCATTTGGCTCACAGAATTTTATCCCTTATTTTTTTTCTTTGTGGTGAGGAATGTTGTCCCTGAGCTAACAGCTGTGCCAATCTTCCTCTATTTTGTCTGTGGGATGCCACCACAGCATGGCTTGATGGGCAGTGTGTAGGTCCACACCCAGGATCTGAACCCACCAACCCCAGGCCGCCAGAGTGGAGCATGCGAACTTAACCAGGATGCCATCTGGCCATCCCCAAATTTTATCCTAATGTAGTATTCTATGCTTGAAATCGTACAGAATATTGCTTGAAATCACATAGAGTATGGGTGATTTCACATACAGAATTAAATTCTGGCCATAACAAGATTAAGTTAAAATCTGTAACCAAAAAGATCTGAATATTTGAAAATTAAAAAGCATACTTTGACCCCAACCTGTGGGTCAAAGAAGAAATTACAAAACAAATTAAAAATGTTTATCTGAATGATAAGGAAAACATAATATATGAAAATTCTTGAAATGAAGCTAAAGCAGTGTTTAAGGGAAATTTAGAGCTCTAACATGCTTTGTTAGAAAAGAGGAGAGATTTAAAATCAGTTCTCTAAGTTTCCACCGTCGTCGTCGTCAGTGCTGTCAAGTTGATTCCAACTCCTAGTGCCCCTGTGCACAGCAGAGGGGACCCTGCCTGGTCTTTCTCAGCTGTCCTCTCACGTCCCACGCTGTTTCAGACGGTGCTCCACTGCTACTCACAGGATTTTCATGGCCAGGTTTTTCAGAAGTGGGTGGCCAGGTCCTTCTTCCTGGTCTGTCTTAGTCTGGAAGCTCCACTGACACCTGCCCATCATGGGTGACCCTTCTGGTATTTGAAATCCGGGTAGCATAGCTGTCAGCATCACAGCAACTCAGCCAAACCACAGTATGACAACCAGCAGATGGGTGGTCTGGTTCCCTGATGGGGAAGTTTCCACCATAAGAAGCTAGAAAAGAAGTGCAAATGAAACACAACATAAGTAGAAGGAAGGAAACAATACCAATAAAAGCAGAAATCAATGAAATAGAAAATGGGCGAACAGAGAAAATCAGGGAAACCAAAGGCTGGTTCTTTGGAAAGATCAGTAAAGTTGATAAACCTCCAGTGAGACTGCTCATGCAAAAAGCCACAAATTATCGATACAAGCAGTAAAAGTTGGGACATCACTACAAATCCTACAGACATTAAAAAGAAAATGAGGGAATATGAAGAAATATGAAGAACTTTATACCAAAAAAGTTTGGAAACCTAAATGAATTTTTTCTGTGAAAGGCATGAATTATCAAAATGAATAGAAAAAAAAAATAGAAAACCCAAATGCCCTATCTCTATTACAGAAATTGAATTTGCAGTCAGTCTTTCCGTGAGGAAAATCCCAGGCCTCTACTTGCAATCCTAACACCCTATAAAGCCTGCCTCACCTGGCAGCCAGAGTGATCTTTCTAGAGTGCAAATCTGTCACTCCCCCCACCCGATGCCTCAGTGGCTTAGTCCCCAATATGACCTTCAAGGAAATGGGACCCGAGTGCTGCCTGCCTCTGGACACCCTCACTACGCTCATCTCTAACCACTATCCTCTCCATCCTTCCCCACTCCATGCCTACACCTCCCCCTCCCCGCAGGCATGCTGGAGCGTGCGTGCACACACCTGATCCCTAGGAGTTCTCTGGTGGCAGTACACCCTACCCCCACCAGGGGGCATTTGGGAATGTGTGGGAGTGAGTTGTCACAACCACTATACGATGTCATTGACATTTAGGGGGCAGAGGCCGGGCGTCAAACACTCAGCAGTACCTGGAACAAGCTCCGCGTTGAAGAACTGCCCTATTGAGAATGCCAGAAGCGCCACACTGAGTCTTGCCTGAGTTTTCTCTCCGTCTCACCTGGCTCATCCTGACTCTGCCTTTGGGGCTCTGCTTAAACGTTACCCTTGGAGACCTTCCCAAACACATGCCCGATAAGTTTGCTACGTTGAATTTGTCTCCCTCCACCCTCCGCCCCTTTTATTAAATAGAAGTCACGTTCACTTCCAGGAGCAGAGACTTTTAACTTGAATACATTCTGAAAAACACTAAGAAGGGGGAAAAAGGGAAATTCTAATATTTACTCTGTAACCATGGTAAATCCTCCCCTTTCGTGAAGGGAGGCTTCTTCCTGATCTTCGTTTTTCTTGATTGGAAGTGGTTTCCCTGGAGCCGCGGCTCCCACCTGGGCCTCCCCGAGTGCCCGCCCTCTCCTTCCTGCTTCCCTGCCCTCATCCCCAGTCACCTCTGCCTTTTGTTATTCTAGTTCATCCTTCTCCCAAGGTTGAGCCCTGCTCGAGCTTTCCCCTCCCAGCTCTCGTCTGGAGCCCCTCCCCCTGTGGACCCCTGCTCCCCGCCCTGCAGGGCAGACCCTCCAGAAAGCAGGTGAGAATCCGTGAGCACTAAATGGGAAGGGCAGGCCCCACCCTTCAGCACTTCCCGTCTGCGTTTGCCGGACCGCGGCAGAGACAGGCCCTGCCACAGGTTTGGTGTCACCTTTAACCATTTTGCATTCTAATTACGGGTTGTGGTCTTACTGACATACGAACAGCTCGAGGAAGAGGAGACGTCTTCTCTGTGCTGTTGTCGTTGCCTCTTTGCCTCTCTCCATGTACAGCTGAGTCCAAAGATCTGTCAGTCAAAGCAGGAGGATTAGCCTCGCCCATGTGAAGGGTGAATTGGGAAGAAAAAAAAAAAACCTTGTCTGAACTTGAAAATAAAAATGCTGATGTGGTTTTTATTCCCAAAACATATCTTACTGATTAAGAGCATGGAGAGCTACCGGCTCGTGGGTGGGCCAGCTGGAGTTGGCCTCCCCGCTCTGGCTCTCGAGGCCGGGCCAGGCTCCCGCCCACAGGATGTCAGAGGCAGGCGCGGTGCGGCCACTCCACAGTGCACATCTCTGCTGACCGGTATGGCTGCGTGTTTGTGCAGCGTGCACACACAGGACTTTGAGACGGATCCATCAAGACGAGGCAGGTTCCGTCACTCAGCTTGACAGAAGACAGAAAGGCAGCAAGTCACCGGGGAAAGAGTGTGAACCTGGAGTCAGCTAGGGCTGGGTTTAACCCAGTGCTGCCACTTCTTAGCTGAGTAACCCCAGGTAAGTGACGTACTCTTTGGGCCTTAGTTCCGCCATCTATAAAACGGCAATGCTGGCACCTACTTTGAGGTTGCTGAGATAATGCAAGTGCAGCCATCAGCTCCTACCCGCACAGAAAAGATGCTCCATGAATGATAACCATTCCAGTGGCCAAGATGGCGGCACACGGCTGACTGAGCCACTCTCCCCAAGCTTTGGCCACCTGAGACCACCGCCTCTTCCAGGCAGCCTTGGGTTCTCTACCGTGGTTTGGAGCTGCAGGAGCAGCCTCGACCCTGGTAGGCCTTAGTTTCCATGACTGTGCAATGGGGCCGACACCTCTGCACACTTCGACCACACAGGGCTTGTGGCTTGGCATGACCGCAGAGGCGGCTGCCAGGAAGGTGGCCTTCGCCAAGGGCTGGATTCCTCCCGGCCCAGCCCAGCTGGCATTTTCTCCAGTTTCATTGGGTTGGGTTATAGAGCGATGGCAGCGATTGATAATGCTGTAATTGGGTGACCTGGGTATTTTCCTAGGTACTGCTGCTGATGACTCATGCTTGGTAAGTCAACATTCCACTGTCATCGAGCACAGGAGACGGTTAAAGAGCCTAATCAGGTATTCAGGTTTCACAACTTCAGTGTCTGAATGTGAGGTCCTTGAGTCACCCAGAGATTCCACTCCTCGGGAGATGTTTACGTGGAGCCTTTGTTCCCAGAGTCCCACACCGATGGAGTTTTCTTTGTGGCATTTAGCTGGCACTTAGAGGGTTTCCAGCTGCAATCTGTTCCCAGCAATTAACGTCCTGTAAATAATAAATCTGCTCAGGAGCCGAGCTGCTGAGGCCTTCAGCTCCTCCTCGCCTCCCTCTCCCACTCTGTCCTTCCAGCACCTTCCCCTTCTCTGCTCTTGCCCCCTTCCTGTTGTCCACCCTCCCTCCTGCTCCTCCACTTCTCTCTCTCTCCCTGGGGTCCCTATTCCCTCTGTCCTCCTTTCTCCCTGGCTGGCTCTCTGGCCTTGGAGCAGCATGCGGTGCTGAGCACGCTCATTTCCTGCACTTCACAGGCGCAGGGCCCTGAGCTGGAGGGGACAAGCTGAGACCCAGGGGAAGGGCAAGTGCTGGGAAGCACAGAGACTGCCTGGGACACAGGGTGCCACAAGCAGTCAGAGCCACCACAGCCCTCCACCTTTCGCCAAGGGCTGGGCCCCGCAGAACACATGGTTGAAAAGGTGTGAGGGGGCCAGCCAGGTGGCGTGGTGGGTAAGTTCGCACGTTCCACTTCGGGGGCCCGGGGTTCGCCGGTTTGGATCCCGGGTGCGTACCTACACACTGCTTGTCAGGCCATGCTATGGCAAGTGTCCCATATATACAGTAGAGGAAGATGGGTATGGATGTTAGCTCAGGGCCAGTCTTCCTCAGCAAAAAGAGAAGGATTGGTGGTAGATATTAGCTCAGGGCGAATCTTCCTCAAAAAAAAGAGCTTGAGAACTGCACTCTCCAAAGGAATCACCACAACTGCTGCCTCCAGCCCACTTGCTCTGTGGCTACACTGCCATGTGGCGGGCAGGAGGGGCGGGTCCTAAGGGCGGGATGTGGGAGGATGAGAACACCCCCGTTCTCAGGTGCCCAGAATGCAGCTTCTCTCCTCCTCCCGCCTTTCCTCTTGTGAACCGTCAGGCAGTGCTGGGGTGAATCCCGACCCCAGCAGCAGTGGTCACTGGGCGCCCATATGTCCCAGGCCCTGTGCAGACAGACCAGGTCCCTGTTGCCCCGGAGCCGGAGCCGGGGTTTGGGGGCGGGGCAGCTCTAAAGACCAATGCAAATAAGTCCCAAGATTACAGATTGTGATAGGGTCAAGAAGGAAACAAGCTGTTGGGTGGCAGGGAGGCCAAAGACCCCGTTGGCAATGTCAGGGAGCACCTGCGACCCCGCAGCAGAGTGGAGGGATCAGAGCCCCGCTCCAGCACCGGGTCCTCCCTGATTGGAACCTCGGCCCCTTCCTTCCTAGCTGTGTGGCCTTGGGCAAATTGCTTGACCTCTCCGGGTTCGGTTTCCCTTTCTATAACGTGGAGATGGTAGTTGTAACTCCTCTAGAGGGCCGACTCAAGGTTCAGCAAGGTAAGGTACACGGAGCCGCTCAGAGCAGCTCTGGGCCCGCGACTGCTTTGAATTCAGGGGTAGAGGCCTAGAATGTAGAAAAATAGGAGCTTTCAGAGTGGAATCCCATCCAGGCAAGCTGGCCCGCTCTCAGGGATTCCAGACAGCCGGCTTCCCAGCTTCGGGGAGACTGTGTGGCCGAGAGGTGATCCTGCACTGCCCTCTGGGGGATGGCCTCACAGGAGTGAGGAGGACACAGCCTGCGGGGCCTGCCGGGCGTGGGAGCCCCCGGGGACCCTGGCCCTCCCTGCGCCCTCGGGCTTGCACATCCCTGGGGTCTGGCTGCCCCTCCTTCCCACCCGCGGCAGCCTGAGGCTGCCCACGCACTCCTGCTATGGCAGCAACAGTTGGAGCTGGTCCCCTCCACAGAGCTGGTCCTGGCAGCCCTGGCCCTCGGTTCCTTGGCATCCCCTCCTCTGGCGATGCTGAGGGCACCGGGAGCTAACATCCGCCCAGTGCTCGTTTCGCCAGACACCGTTCTGAGGACTTTACTGACTCGCGTTGAACCCTCAGCAATACTCTGAGATTGGTGCTACCTTTATGTCCATTTCACAGATGAGGAAACTGAGGCACAGAGAGTGACTCCACTGGCCCTCAGCCTTTCCCTTCCACGACCTCAGCCTGGAACTTGTCATTGCCAACAACTGCATCCTGTTTCAAGTGCCCCTAAGAAGCCCACTGCCTCCCTTCTCTTCCCCCCAGTCCTCTCGCTCACCCAGAACCTTCTGCAGCCTCACTTCTGTCCATACGAGGGTAGCGTTCTTCGTTTTCATCACGCTCCCCACACACGCTCAGCCCCCTGGCCCCTCGCCCACGTGGAATTCTTGTCTGACACGATCCAACCCTGGGCACGTCCAACCTCTTGCCCATCCCATGGCTGCAGCCTCCCTTGAGGAAGTGCTCGTCGCGCAGCCGGGTGCCACAGGCGTGGCCATGGCTCCCTGACACCCTTAGCACCTCTGCCCGTGGGCCGCTCCCCCTGCTGTCCGCAAGCCTCTCACCCCAGCCTCCACCCTGTGCACCACCCTCTCTCAGTTCCGGCGGGGTCTTCCTTCCTGGCTCTGGAAACAGCAGCAACCAGAAGACACCTGTCCAGGCTGGGCCACCACATCCACCCGTCCCCGGCTGTCCTAGCTGCGTTCCCCCCACCCCACCACAGCCTGTGCCCCCTTCCCACGGCATCCCGCACGCTGTGATTTCTCCCATCTCAGAAATCCCTCTATTGACGCCACCTTACCTCCAGCTGCCATCAGTCCTCTGCTCTTTCTGAAGGCAAAGCCCCTCCCAAGTCATCCACTTGCCGTCTCCAATTGTTCCCCTTCCCTGTCAGCCTCCCCGACAGTTCTCACCCACCCGGCTCCACAGTGTCCACCTCAAGGCCACTGAAGATTTTCACATCCCTCAGTCGGGGGGTCAGTGCTCAGACCCCCGAGGACGTGGCTCTTGGCGTCCTGGCTCCGACAGACTCCCCAGCCCTCTCCTCGTCCCGCATCGCTGCTCCTGGCCGTCCGCTTTGCTGGCTCATCCTCCTCTCTCAGCCTCCAAACCCTGGAGTTCTTGGGGTGTCGTTAGTGGAATTTCTCTCTTCTACATCCGCTCACTCCTTGGGAATCTACCCAGTTTCAAAGCTTCAAACATCAATAATACTCTGACGAGCCCCAGAGCTCATCTATCCCCAGCCCGGACCACCCCAAGCTCCAGATGCTGCACCCAACTCGCTACTGGATGTTGCCACTCGGATGGCTAGTAGGCGTCTCCTAGGTAAACACACCCACGACAGCTCCTGACCTCCCCACTCCCAGATCCCACCGCCCCCCAGTCTTCTCAAACTCAGAAAATGACAACTCCATCCTGTTGCTCCATCCTTCCAGTTGCTCAGATTAAAATCTTCAGAGTCATCCTTGGGTCTCCGCTTTCTCTCAAACCTCACATTAAATCTGTCAACACATCCTGTGGCTCTGCCTCGCGCGCCTGGCCGTTTCTCACCGTCTCCCAGTCTAAGCCACCGCGAGCCGCCATTGTTCTTCCAGACCGTTACAGTTTCTTCCTCATGTCATTCTGCCATGTCCCTCCAGAGACTCTCACGTTGCTCAGAGTGTGGCCCGGCATTACCAGAGTCTACAGGGCTGCCCTGCTCTGGCTCCCCTCCTGCAGCGCCCCTCAGCCCTACAGCCTCTTAGATGCTCCCTAAGCAAGCCAGGCTCTCTCCTGCCTCAGGGCCTTTGCACCTGACATTCCCTTTGCCTAAACACTCCTCCCTCAGCTCTCTGCCTGGCTCACCTACCTCCTCCCTGTCTTTGCTAAAATGTCCCATTCTCACCAAAACTTCAACTGGAACCCACTCGCCGCAGCAGCCCCGCCTCCCCTTCCCTGCTTTGTACTTGTCTCATTCTTACAGCCAGCGAGCCGGCCCAGTGTCTATTTCGAGTGTTGTCTGGTCCACAGGGGCAGGGGTTTCGACCCCTCTGCTCACTGCTGCATCCCCTGTGCCCAGAGCACCTGCCAAGTGAACAGCACTTTGCTCCTTGCTCAGAACCAGGAGCCTCAAAAAGGAGGTGGCAGGGGCAGGTTCTCTCCCATCCCAGAGCAGCCCTGGCCCCTGCTCTTCAGCCTTCCAGGGGCTTCAGGTCGGGTTGAGTGGGCTAGATTTATGCTCAGTGTTTCATCCAGGGCCAGAGCGGGTGGTCCTGACCCTAGTGTCCTCGATGCTCAGGGGGTCAGGATCAAAGCCAGATTAGCTGCCCAGCTTAACCCCAACTGCCACATTCTTGTGACAGTGGTAGGCTGGGGAGATTCAGTGGCCCCAGTCTCAGATTGGACTTAAACCTCTGGGAGTTCCTGCTACCACACATGCACACACACACACGCTCACACACACACACACACATGCACTCACTTGCTGGCACTGCCACTAGGTTAGGGAGCCAGAGGTCCTCAACTTTGCTAATAACCCGTTGCAGCCGTGGCATCAGACCGGACCCCAGAAAGTCAGTGCTGGTGGGCCCTTCCTGTCAAGACCATCTTGTCTAGCATCTTATGTCACAGACAGGGACTCTGCTCAGAGAGAGGACGTGGTTTGCACTACCTTTTGCTCCCGATTCCAAGGGTAGTGTTGGCTCTGCCTTGCTGGGATGTAGTGAGAGAGAATGCCACCTCCCTGGACAAGCACCAACCTCAGTAACCACCTCCCCACGATGGGAATGGATGAAAAGTGTCCCCACAAGTCACCGTGTGGACCAAACAAGATAACCGACGGGAAACACCCAAAGCATAGCAGCTCAGGGGCTGGGCAGCGGTGACTGTGGCCATCCTTGCCACGATTCTAGGCTCGGCCCCTCCACTGGCTGCTATGTTATTTTGCCCCCACGTGGGTAGATTGGTTCTTGCACTTCTTCCTGACCTGTCACAGCTCAAACCTTTCTTGCTGGGTCATCAATGTATTTCTCCAATTCAGGGAAAAACTGCTCTCTAAACACCAACCTGAACCGTAGCTTGGGGTTCTAGGCTCTCTCCGTGTTGGCAGCACTAGGACAGTGAACAGCAGGCTCTTCTGTCTGTCGGGACAAACGTCCCTGAGCATCCTTATGAGGAGGCCCTTTCTGGCTGGCCTGCCTCTGGCCAGGTAATGGATCCTGTCCTGACCAGCCCAGGTGCCTAACAACCTGTGTCGAATCACTTTTCAATCTCTCCTTCTGCTGAAGACTCTGTCTATACGTTTTCCTGCCTCCCTGACTCTCTTATCCCTTGGGAGGTTGTGGGGAGGACATGTAGTCAGGAGACAGCTGGCGTTTTGTCCAGTTTTGTATGGGATGACACGCCCAGAGAGCAGGAGATGGCCAATACTTGGTTTACAAAGAGGGACTGCTTCTGCCTCTGGTCGAGATGGAGTGACAGGCTGTTTTTACCCCCACCTGAAACCGCCAAAAGAACCAGACAGAATGTGTGAAATAGCAGTTTTCAAGACACTAGACATCAGCAATGAAATGATCCCTGAGAAGCAGGAAGCAAGGCGAGCCTGTAACTGCCCCAGCTTTCTGCCCTGAGAGGTTTCCAGGCCCTGGTGCAGGGAAGGAGGATCCAGGCAGATCCCAGAAGACTCCCTGAGCAGCAGAGATGGAGCTGAGATGCAGGAAAACCAAGGTGTTCACAACGTAGCATCAGAGAAGAGAGCTGCACAGACGGAGAGCTCTGGAGACGTACAGAGGGTCCCCCTCAAGGATTCCCCAGAGTGCTGATCACTGTGTGCGTGTGAGGAAGCTACTCGAGGTCTGTGAGAGAATCATCCGTGGGATTAAAGGAAACAGTGCCCAGCACGCTCGCAAGCCGGGAGCAATGCCTATTTCCACCAGCTAGACCGGAAAAATTCAGAATTCTGGTGGGACATTTGAGGCCAGGGAGTTGAGTACTCAGAAAGGTCTTGCCTCAGTAGTGGAGAATAATTAGCACTAGGCTGAGTAATTACCCAGACCTGTCTAATATATCGTGAAAGCAAGACCCAGAAGGCTCAAAATGACTCCAAGATCTAACCACTTCCCAGAGCAAAGCCAAGAATATTTATTGCAACACAATAATATCCAGTGCTCAATAAGGTAAGGTTTTACAAGTGTCAAGCATCCAACTAAAGACTATGAGGCATGCAAAGAAGCAGGAAGCATGATCCATAATAAGAAAATAATTAATCCATCAAAAAAACTGACCCAGAATTAACACAAATGTTGGAATTAGCAGAGGACATCCTAGCTGTATTCCACAAGTTCAAATAACAAAGCAGAGACGTGGAAGATTTGAAAAAACTCAAATCAAACTTGATCAAAAACTGCAGTGCATGAGAAGAAAAACACAGTGGTTAGAATTAACAGGAAATTAGACATTGCAGAAGATAAGATTAGTGAACTTGAAGACATAGCAATAGAAACTATCCACAATGAAACACATAGAGGAAAAAGAATTTCCCCAAATGAAAAGTGAGCTGTGGTCAACTTCAAGCAGCCTAACATAGGTGTAATTAGAGTTCCTGAAGAAGAGGAGATGGGGAATAGAAAATGTATTTGAAGAAATATTGACCAAAATTTTTCTACAATAATGAAAGCTATAAACCCACAGACCAAGAGCTCAACAAATCCCAAGCACAAGAAGCATAAATAAAACTATGCCAAGGCACAACATGATCAAACTGCTCAAAAACAGTGATACAGAGAAAATGTTAAAGCAGCCAGAGAAAAAGGAATATTACATAAAGGAAGAAAATAAGAATGACAGCAGATTTCTTGTCAGAAACAATGAAGTGAGAAGACAGTGAAGCAACATCTTTAAAGTAGTGGAAGAAAAAACTGTCAACCTACACTATCTTTAAAATGAAAATATCTTTAAAAAGATAATTTCAGCAAATATATACCCAGTGAAATAGCTTTCAAAAGCAAAAGTGAAATAATGATGTTTTCAAACACACAAAAGCAGGAAAAAATTAATCAGCAGCACACCTGCACTACAAGAAATGTTAAAGAAAGTCCTTCATACAGAGGGAAAATAGTACCAGCTGGAAATAAGGATCTACACGGAGGAATTAAGAACACCAGAAATGATTCCCATGTGAGTAAGTATGTAACTTATTTTTAGATTTAAATCTCTTTAAAAGATGATTGAAAAGAAAGCCTAAATAAATTCAATGATATCCCATGTTCATGGCTTGGAAGACAATATTGTTAAGATGGCAATACTACTCAAAGTACTAAAGATTCAATACAATCCCTATCAAAATTCCAACAGCTTTTTTTATGGAAATGGGAAAGTCCATCCTCAGTTTCATATGGAATTCAAGGGGCCCTCAATAGCCAAGACAATCTTGAAGAAGAACAACAAAATTGGAGGAATTATACTTTCCAGTTTCACAACCTACTACAAAGCTACAGTAATCAAAACAGTGTGGTGCTGGCATTAAGATAGACATATAGATCAATTGGATAAATTTGATAGTCCAGAAATAAGCCTATACGTCTATGGCTGATTGATTTTCAGCAAAGGTGCCAAGACCATTCAATGGGGAAAGATCAGTCTCTTCAACAAATGCTGGGACAACGGTTATCCACATGCAAAAGAATGAAGTTGGATCCCTACCTCACACCATGTACAAAAATTAACTTAAATGGATCAATGACCTAAATATAAAAGATAAAACTCTTAGAAGACAACATACGAGTGAATCTTCATGGCCTTGGATTTGGTAATGGATTCTTAAGTATGACACCAAAACCATGATCCACAAAAGAAAAAAATAGATAAATTGCTCTTAATCAAAATTAAAAACTTTTGTGCATCAAAAGACACTATCAAGATAGTGAAGAGACAACCTACAGAATTGGAGAAAATATTTGCCAATCAAATATCTAATAGGGGCTTATTACACAGAATATATAAAGAACTCTTACAAATCAACAACAAAAAGCAAACAACCCACTTAAAAAATGGCCAATGGACTTGAAAAGACATTTCTCCAAAGAAGATATGTAAATGGCCAACGAACACATGAAAAAGATTCTCACCATCATTAATCATTAAAGGAAATGCAAATCATGGTATATACCTACAATGGAATATTATTCATTCATAAAAAGGAATGAAGTGCTTATACATGCTATGACATGGATGAACCTCAAAAACTTTGTACTAAGTGAAGAAGCCAGACACAAAAAGCCACATATTGTGTGACTCCATTTACATGAATTGTCCAGAATCGGTAAATCTGTAGAAACAGAATGCACATTGGTGGTTGTCAAGAGGTGGAATGGGAATGGGGAGTAATTTCTTAAAGGGTACGGGGTTTTATTTTGGAGTGATGGAAATGTCTTGGAACTCAGTGGAGGTGGTGGTTGCTCAACCGTGTGAATGTACCAAATGCTACTGAATTGTTCACTTAGAAATGGTTAATTTTGTTATGTGAATTTCCCTTCAATTTTAAAAAAAGATAATTGAGTGTTCAAACATATTTCTAAGTAGAGTGTATGTCAATAGTGTAAAGGCCAGGAGGGGACAAACGAAGTATACTCTTCCAAGACTCATACTATCCTAGGTGAAGTGGCATACTATCACTTGAAGGTAGATTCTGATAAGTTAAAGATTATTCTAGAACCCCTAAAGCAATCAGGAAAATAACACAACAAAGAGACACAACTAAATAGATAAAATGGAATAATAAAAAATACTCAGTCCAAAAAGAACAAAGAACAGATAGGACAAAAAATAAAAGGGCCTAACATATCAACAATTACATTAAATATAAATAATCTCAATACCCCAATTAAAGATAAAAGATGATCAGATTGGATTAAAAAATCAAGATCCAACTATATACTTCCTACAAGAAATGTACCTTAAATGTAAAGACACAAATAGGTTAAAAGTAAAAGAATAGAAAAACATATACCACAATAACGATAGTCAAAAGAAAGTTGGATTAGCTACACCATCAAAGTAAATTTCAGAGGAAAGAATATTACCAGGGATAGAGATGGTCACTTCATAATTATAAAGGTGTAAATTAATCAAGAGGACATAATGATCTTAAATATTTATCTACCTGATAACAAAACTTCAAAATACATGAAGCAAAAATTGATAGAACTGAAGGGAAAAATAGATCACAATTATTGAGAGAGACTTCAATACCCCTCTCTCAATAACTGATAGAACAAGTAGATGGAAAATCAGTAAGAATATAGAAACTTTGAGCAACATTATTAGCCAATTTGCCGAATTCTAATTTATAGAATGTTCCAGTCAACAGCAGCAGAATAAACATTCTTTTCAAGTGCATGTGGAACATTTACCAGCATAGACCATATTCTGCTTCATAAACTATAAAAGGATTCGAGGTATACAAAATGTGTCCTCTGACCCCAATGGAAATAAGTAACATAAAGCTATCTGGACAATCCTCAAATATTTGGAAATGAAACAATTTATACTCCATGAGTCAAAGAAGAAATCAAAAGAAAACTTAGAAAATATTTTAAATGGAAAGAAAATGAAAACATATCATAATTTGAAAACAACATATCATAATTTGTGAGATGATGCTAAAGCAGAGGTTAGCTTAGCTTTAGATGCTACAATGAAATAAATAGAAAAGAGAAAAATAATAATGGAGAAAAACGAAACCAAAGTCTGTCTCTTTAGGAAGATCAATAAAACTCTAGCCAGACTAACCAGGAAAAAAAGAGAGAAGATACTAATTACTAAAATCAGAAATGAGAAAGGTGGCATTTCTACAAATTCTACAGATATTAAGAGGATGATAAAGGAATATTATGAAGAATTTTATTCCTATAAATTCAACAATTTAGATAAAATGATCCAATTCTTTGAAAGACACAAACTTCCAAAGTCACTCAAGAAGAAATAGATGACCTGAATATCCTTACATCTCTTAAAGAAATCGAAGTTGCACAAAGAAAACTCCAGATCCAGATGCCTTCACTAGTGAATTCTATGAAACACTAAAGGAATTCTACATAAACTCGAAATATTAAAGAAGAGAATGTATTTCCCAACTTGTTTCGTGATACAAGAACCAAAGACATGACAAGAAAACTACAGAACAATATCTCTCATGAACATAGATGCAAAAATTCCAAATTCTTTAGCACGTTGAACACGACAATATATAGAAAGTAAGGTTTGACCAGTGAGGTTAATCTAAGGAATGCAAGGTTGGTTTAATATTAGAAAAGTAATCAATGTAATTCACCATATCAACAAACTTGAAAAAAAAATATGATCATCTCAATAGATGCAGGAAAAGCATTTGGCAAAATCTACATGCATTCCTGATGAGAACTCTCAGCAAACTAGAAATAGAAGGCAACTTCCTCAACCTGAGAAAAGGTGTCCACAAAACCCTACAGCTAACATCATGCTTAATGACAGAAGACTGAGCATTTACCCCTAAGATTGGGAACAAGATAAGGATGGCTGCTCTCACCACTTTCATTCAGTGTGGAACTGGAGGTTCTCATCAGGGAAATCAGGCAAGAGAAATAAATAAAAGACGTCCAGATTGGAAAGGAAGGAGTAAAACTGTCTTTATTTGCAGATGACATAATCATCATAATCAATATTACAATATGCAAATGCATCGTATTAACATGCGGTACATCTTAAATTTACACCATGTTATATGTCAACTATATTTCAATAAAAAAGATGACATGATCATCTATGTAGAAAATCCAAGGAATCTACAATAAAGCTCCTAGAACTAATAATTGACTTGGACAAGTTTGCAGGAACAAGATCAATATACATTAGTCAATCGTGCTTCTATATACGAGCAACAAATAATCAGAAATTAAAGCTTTAAATTCCTATTTACAACAATATCAAAAAACATGAAATACTTAAGGGTAAATCTAACAAAAGATGTGAAAAACCTGTACCCTGAAAACTACAAAACATTGCGGAGAGAAATGAAAGATCCTCGTCAATGGAGAGACAGACTGTGTTCACGGATCAGAAGACTCAGTGTTGTTAAGACGTCCTTCCCCTCCCAAGTTGGGATTCAGCCTATAGATTCAGTGCAATCACAGTCACAATTCTAGCAAAATTTTTTTGGTAGAAACTGACAAACTGACTCTAACATTCACGTAGAAATGTATAGAATCTAGAAGGACCAAAATAACTTTAAAAACAAGAACACAACTGGGGGACTCACACTACACAATTTTAAGACTGATTATAAAGCTGCTGTAATCAAGAGAGTGTGGTATTGGTGTGAAGGCAGATAAGTAGATCAACGGAACAAGACAGTGTAAATACATACCCACACATACGTGGGTAACTTATTTTTGACAAAGTGCAAAGGCAGTTCGGCGGAGAAATGATCATATGATAGTCTTTTTAACAAACGGTGTTGCAACATTTGAATATTTGCATGCAAAATCAGAAACAAAGAGCTGAAGAGCAAACTTCAACCTGTGCCTGGCCCAGCTCCAAAAACTAACTAAAAATGGACCATAGACCTAAATGGAAAGCCTAAAACTATGAAATTTTCCAAGAAGACCTGTGTGATCTTGGGTTAGACAAAGATTTCTTAGATATGACACCAAAAGCATGATTCATAAACCGATAAATTGGACTTCATAAAAATTAAGCTTTTTTGCTCTTTGAAGAACATTGTTAAGAGAATTTAAAAAACAGGCCACGGACTGGGAGAGAGTAATTTCAAAGCGTATATCTGATAAAGGCCTTGTATCCAGAATATGAAAGAATTCTCAAAACGCAATAATAAGAAAACAAAACCCCCAATTTTCTTAAACAGACAAAAGATTTGAACATTTCACCAAAGAAGACGTATAAATGGCAAATAACCACATGGAAGATGCTCAGTGTCATTATTCAGCAGGGAAATGCAAACTGGAATCCCAGTGAGACACCCTATGCATCTATTCAGATGGCTGACAGTAGAAAAACTGACAATATCAAGTATTATCAAGGAGGTGGAGGAACTGGAACTCTCACCCACTGCTGGTGGCAATGAAAGTAAAACAGGACAAGCCCTTTGGAAAACAGTTCGGCAATTTCTCAGAAAGCTACACGCCCACCTACCATATGATCCAGTCAGTTCCCCCTTGTATTTACCCAAGGAAATGAAGAAACATGCCCACA